TTATTTTATTATATGAATAATTTGTTTATATTTTAATAATGTGCAGCAGATCACAGTAGAGTAGTGGCTTTGTAATCAATCATTTTTGTTTTAGTGTGGGCTCTATAACTTTCTAGGTCTGGGACCTTAAGTGAATTACTAATTTCTCTGAACCTCAGGCCTCTTGTCTGTAAAAAAAAATAAATAGGTGGGTGCAGTTACTGATATGGAAAAGTGATTAAAACAAGGTGCTCAGTAAGGTGTTGCCACCTTCCCTTTCATTCCATTCCCTTAGCTCATCACAAAGCAGTAGAAAAATATAATTTTGAGAACATCATTAAGTTTGCTGTGGCCCGTCTATGTTGAGGAGACAAATGCCTTTGGGGTTGTGGCTGACTGTTGGGAACACATCCCTTAGAGACCTGAGGAAATGGTCGTGGGCCTGAATTGTGACCAGAGCTTCAGAAAGAGAGCCATGGTGCCCTGCCCTGTACCTCCGTTTTGGCAGTCTTCCCTAATGCACTTTTGTCTCCAGTTTGCATTATGCCTAACTTGTGATGACTGTGTAATACTGGAGCCGACATACTGGCTGGAATTCTGCCCTTTTAACCATGTCAAGCTTTGATTGAGCTCTAAGTATATCCTGGGGCTTACAAACGACCCACAGTCTTAAGAGCTCTACTTGACAGCCTACTAGATCATACCCTTTATTGTTTTAGGATATAGTCCTCTTTTAACATATGTGTTCTCCAGTTATTTAGGAAGCTGTGTAGTTTCCTAGGATTGTAAGAAATCTATGTAAACTTATTCCACTTTAATATCTTCATGTTCTACTTGATCACCTGGAATGGGAAAAGAACAACGGCTGAAGGTGGCAGAACGTTGTATCATAAACAGAATTCTGAAGTTATCAATAAATTTCGTAGTTCTTGTTGTTTCTTGTTTGTACTAGATCAGGTCACATTTCTGTGCTGATTGAAGTGATTCAGTCTTTCTCCTTTCATTTCTCTTCCCTTTGTAGCCTGAGTACTTTAACTCAATGTAAGGCAAGTATTAAGGCATATCTTTTAAGAGCATGTAACAAATGTGCCTTAACTCTATTATATAGTTGAGCAAGATATTGTCAGTGACTCTGGAATGAGTTCCATGCTTGATTCATAGATCAATGAAGCTCATATGACCCAGCTTCATAGACTATTATAGTGTAACTTTAATGGACACCTAACCTAAAAAAGAAAAGGTAACATGATTGCTAACCAATTATCCTTTTGAGTTATGCCATTATTTTTGTCTGGAAGTTCATTTGTGAATATTAAAGGGTTGCAGTTTTCTAATACATGTTTAAAATGTGTGGTTTGCCTAGAATCATTTAGGGAATCACTTTTCATGGTTCATTAAAATGGAAAGGAGAAATAAATTTGAATTAAAATCTAATTTCATTTGTATTGTTACTAGTCTTCTCTCTGGTATGTATGTGTCTTTCAAGAAAGAATCTTTGCATCTAGCTTAAGTAGTTCTAGGAAGTTGGGAATAAGGGGGAAAAAGAGTCATCATCTCATCTTGGCATTATACTTATGAGATATTATGTTAAGAGCCATTTAAAAGAGGACACCCTGCATCAGTTGGACTATCCATTCAAGATTGCAGAGTAAATTGATAGGAAATCAGGATTAAGAAAGAGAATTCATGGATTTAAAAGTGTTGTTTAGATCCTGTGTCTTCTTGTAAATGAATTGCTAAATGAGGGATGATATCTTATCCATATGTTTGTTTCTGGAAGCTCCCAGAGTACCTGGCAAGGAGCTCAGTAGGTGCTTCATAAAAGTGGAATGAATGGGAGTTGCCATAGGAGTGATTAGCTGAAGCCCTGGAATGCTGAGAGGAGACAGAAAACCAAGGGATTCAAAGATGGTAGGAAAGCAGCTAGTAATGGTATGTTAGGGCACACATAGTGAAATGGAGAGGAGTAAATGCTTCAAGGCCAACTTGGGATGCTCTCTAAGTATCATCTCCCAGGGGGCTGTGAGAGCAATGCACGAGGTGAGCAGGACAGTGATTCTCAGGCTCCTGTAATTCAGCTGGTGGTGTTGTCCTGGTAAATTATATAACAGTCCTTTTCCAGTGTCTATTTAAAATGAGATAATGGAGGGGCTATTCCTCCATGTTCTTTTCCCTTTAAATCTTTGAGTACTTGTTATTTTTGGTCAATACGAACAACAAACATAAGAGGTCTCTAAAATAGTACAGAGTTATGATAGTTATTTTAGGATTAACAAATTGTGCTTTACAGAGTTCTACAGAGAGCACTGTGGCTTCCCGGAGCTCAGCTGAGTCTGAGAGCTGCCATCCTAGGGTGTTCATGAAATAAAGCTCCCCTGGGGTAAGGAGAGCAAGGGCTTCACAGGAGTTCCTGACAGCAAATCTGGCTACTGTGATCTGTAAAAGGCAGTTCTTGTTAGGTTGCTCTTGTTGGGTCCCTGTGGGCTGCGAGTTTATCAAACACTGTTATCCAGTCAGCATGGAAGAACCTCTTGGCTTTATTTAGTCACCTTACCTGTCTTTTGAAACAAGCCATTCACGGGGAAGTTTCTGTGAAGTGGAATTGTGTGAGTGTAACACGAGTGTTGGGACAGCCAGATTTAGGTTGGCAGAGAGAAAGGAAGTGGTTTGCTTTCTCTTGTAAAGTGCCCCTTCCCAGTTCTTTAGAACTTATTTCCACCTAAAAGCTTTCTTTTAACCTAGATCATGTGAAGTAGTTGCTTTTCTGAGCTGTTTCAGGCAATTAGGTGAGTAATAAAGATGGTCAGTTCTGACCTGCCATTTTGATTTGTAAAATTCTGTTTAGGAAAAAAAAGGTCACTTAGCATGATGATTCATCTTGCTAAATTATAAATTTGATGAATATAAATTATAAATCTGATGCATACACATAAATTGTTCAATGTATCAATAAATGAACACATTACCTAGGCTCAGGCAACAGAAGGTCTACAAAGGGCCCATTGGGAGTGTATATACTAGACCAGAAGGGGAGGGGTAGAAGTTTTATTTTAATACATGGGAATTAAAAATGGCCTGTCAACCTTATAGATCTCATTTTCTTTGAAGCCATTGCAAATTTTTAGCAGAGTGTACCAATTGACATGTCTGGATAAAGAGCCCATATAATCATTTTAGTTTAATTAGAAGATAAGTAGCATGGGAGCCATGTGGAGCGGGGAAGAGGCAGAATGGGAATATTCTGTCATGAAGTTTGATGGAAAGTTCAAATGCTGGAAAGCCATGACTGGCAGGGTGTGTTTTGTAAATTAAGCAAATGTTTCTAAGAAGTGGAGGCAGAAGACTAAAAACTATAGGATTTCAGAAGACGGCAAGCCTTGGAATAGAGGTATAAAGAGCTTTTAAACATAGGTTGGAAGCTCAGTAAATGTTAGTTTCGCTGTTCTTTTTCCTATGCTGCACTGGAACATGATAATAGTTTTCTATTGTGCTTGAGCATATGTGGGTGCTGGTGTGTTGTTTCCCGGATTGTTAGGTAGGAAAAATTAGCTCCTACGATTCCAATCATTCAGTGAATTCTAAACGGATATAAAGATATAAATATCTATAAACGAATGAATAGAAAAGCAAACATTTTTGTGCAAAGTTATGTGCTAGATGCTGTGAAAGCAAAGCAATATAAACTGCCAGTGATTATTGGGGGCAAATGCACACACCGAGGGCCAGCAATGCAGGGCACCCAGGAGCTGCCCCGTGAATAGTACGGGAGATGAAGAGCTCCAAAGAGGGACGAACCCCAGTATACTGGGGCAGGTGGGAGGCGCTTCCCCCAGGAGGTGACTGCTCAAGCTTGGGCTTCAAAGTATGGCAGAATTCAGGGAGTATCAGGGAAGATGCAGGGCTTTCCAGTGTGGAGAATGGTGTGAGCGGAGGCCGGTATGAGGGGCAGGTCCTTCTGAAGAGTAGATCTAAAGAGGCTATGTAGGGAGGTGGAAGGAGATACTAGAAACCTGTTGGAGGCAGACTCTGGTGGGCACAAGAGGCAGGCTGGGGGCTTTGGACTGACTTGGACAAGTAATGAGAGACCCACTGTAAGTTGAGGGGGCGATTTGGGGACATTTGTTTAGTTGAGGTTTGGAGGGTGGCTTGAAGGGGCATGACTAGAGGTCAGGCAAGTCTGTTGAGGAGCTGAAGCAGCAGTTCAGGTGTCTGGTGATGAAAGCCTGAGGGAGACTGGTGGAAGTGGAAATGAAAGGAAAGGAGAAATGGAATTGAAATCACAGTGAGAATAAAGGTCCAAGTATGAAAACATCCTACTCTTTCTATTGCACTTAATAAAGTTGTACCTTCTATAGACTGGGTGCCATTAAATGAATGAAATTGGAATGAATGTTGATCAGATACTTAACGCTGAATGAGAATCAGAACATTAATCCTCTGTGACCCATGACTTGAGATTTCAGCACAGTTGTTGGCTTGGACTATGACTGGGGCTGTGCCTGTTACATATTTTGTGCCCTTATGATACAAAGATTTCTGTTTGATTCTAATTTTTCCCCTTTTCTTTCTTTTAAAATAGACTCTATCAAGAAGAATTTCCAATCCATACCTTGAGCACACACCTTCCCAGGTATGATTCTTTTCTCTCTACTGTGTTTTCTAAAGCAATGATTCACATATCCCCATGTAGCATTCTCTCCTGACAGCTATTCCGTTTGCTCCTGATCATGCCACCTCCTTCACCTGGGAATGACACAACCAAAGATGTTGGAAATGCTCTGATAATTGTATCATGGTGCAAGATGTTCACTATGTAGGAAAAAACATAATTTTTCTCATTTTCCAAGTCCTTTACATGAATGTATTGTCAATATGGCAGAGTTCATATACAGTAAAAATATTTTTAATTTTCTGTATTGATAGAAATGCTGTATTTTAAAAATAGTGAATGTTTTACACAGAAAGCTGCAGAAAACTGTATAAAAAGGGATTACTTACAGTTATTTAATAGTATGCTCATTGAATATCCCTGAATTCTCATTGAAAAAAGATGGGGATGCCTTCATTGCACTGTGTTAAAGAATCAGTTGATAAAGCGTTGTGTTTTTTAGAATAACAGGAGACTGTGAACTTTGTGAGGTCATGATTTTTTCATCTTGTTCATTACTATATCCCAGCATCTAAAATGGGGCCTAATAGCTGCTTATTAAATGTTTTTTGAATGAGTGGGTAAATGAACATTGATACCCTGTCAGGACTAGTTAATTAAGTGTCAGCTGACTTGTATCTCTTTTTATGGTAACACTTTCTGTTATCTGGCTTTTTCAGGTTTTTTAAAAATAGTTTTAACATGTTACAAATAAATCATTTTGTCCTCATTTTCTTATCAAGTTGTCTTTAGGAGGTGATTACAGGAAAATTAAAGAAGTATAAGGATGGAGTTGACACGTGGGTCAAGTCATAGTCAATGCATGATCAATTTGTTTACTTTGAGAGAAAATACAAAATGTTTTGAAGGTACAAAGTTTTGTAGGTGCAAAAAGAATTTACCAAGAAATGAGTAACAGATGTAAATTGCATCCCCAATATATATTAATTTTCATGGACCTTTACTTATGGAGACAATTTACTTTCATTTAGCATCCTTTGTGAAGCAGCATTGCACTGTGGAGGAAGGTGCCAATTATAGACAAAGGAGGTAGTATATAAAGTGGGACACAGATACTCCAAGAGTCAGAGATGCATATTGGTGAGTTAGAAGATGAAAAAAAGAAGTTAAGTGAAATTTTTATCTGCTAGCTGGAATCATGAAATAGGTGAAACTAGGATGCTTGGAATTAATCATGAACTCTGCAGCTGAGTGAAGCTTAAAAGCAGAGCGGACAGCAGCCTGCTGTCAGATTTTTGTCATGGCACAAGATGTTCAGTAGATAAGAAAAAATTATTTTCTCATCTTCCAAGACCTTTACATGAATGTAGTATCAATATGGCAGAGTTAATATATATTCTTCAGTTTGCTGTACTGATAAAAACACTGTTTTTTAAAAACAGATATTATACCCTGAAAGCTATATGCAAAAGGAGATTATAGTGAGAGTACTTAGCATTTGGAAAATAGTTACTGTAGCTTAATAGCATAAGTGGACCAATAACAAAAATAAAATAGGTAGTTGTAGGGCCTGTAGCTATGTAGGCTAAAATATAAGTGTTTTAATCTTAGGGACTTTGTCATGATTTTTGATACTTTGTGTGCTATGGACAGCTTACAAATTGTCACATTATTGTCCTAAATTTACAGTGAATGTTTGTCTTTTCCATTTAGATTTATGGAGAGAATTCTTCTTGCGCAGGAAGAGCACTGAGGAATATTATTATTGTTCAGGCAGCTGACCTGATAAAGGACAGAGTTAACCTCAAGGGATTTTACAGGTAACACAGTTTTCTAACACCTTGTCAAAAATTCCCTTTGAGGGAAAACCCAAAAATGCGTTAAAACTATAACCTTGATCACAGAGATGGGCTGTATTGGTCGAAGGAGGGTTGGTTTGCTCGAAGTGTCTATTTGGCATACTTGTGGTGGCTGTTCTCTTAGTTAAGCTTAGCTGAGTGTTTGTTGACAGTTGGACTTCTGTTTTGGAAGCTGATGTGGAATCCCAGCCCCAAGTGCAGATGAACTCCTGGGAGAGTCACTTACTTCCTCTGAGATGTGATGTTTTGTAATATTTTTACTGGGCTGGGACTTCAGTAAACATAGGTCCCCTCTCCAGGGACCTCATCTAGGTTCAGCGAGGACTCTCTGGAGGTCCATGGGAGCTTCTACTCTAACTCTTCAAATGAGGTGTGCCACTTGCTTGGGTGCTGCAAGAGGCAGGGGGCAGACAGGCACAGGGATGGTGTTTCTCTGCCTTGGCTAGTGAATAAGACAGAGGTATTAGGATAAATGGATGGACTGGTCAATTCCATGTACAGCATGGTCACTTGGAAACCTTGGAACACATGTTTTCATTTCATGCAGCCATTAAAAAAAATCAAAAGCGAATTATCAGCTTTTTATTTTGCCAAGTAGAGGTAATAAACCACACAAAACCATGCCAAAAGAAATAACAGAAACAAAAAGAGGAAAAACCACTACCATTTATTATCATTGTTCATTCTTATTGGAATGAGATTACAATACCATGAAGAATAGAAAGAGTACTCAGAATAAATGATATCCAAAAAGTAGGAAAGATTCTCAGAATAAAGGGTGTTTCTTTAAAGTATCTAAATTTAACTTGATCAGAAACTCATTACAATATTCTTGTTTTTTTCCATTTGCCACAAATAGGAAAAATTTCATTGTCTCAGCCCTGGATTTCAGGGATAATGATTCCCAACCTATTTCAGGAAGAAAACCCTCTTTTTTTGATGCATAAATCCCATAGAGTAAAATGCATAAATCTTAAGGGTACAGCTTGATGAATTTTTAATTATTATACACACTTACATAACTATTATCCATATCAAGATATAGAAGACTTTCCTATCCCAGGTAATTCCTTCATACCCCTTCCTAGTCAGTAACTCTCCTATGCCACCAGTTTCTTTCTCATCAGAAACTTGGCAGAATCTGTATTCTTGGGCACCACTGAGCAACTACACAGTGCAGGTGGTGGAACTACAATGAATTAACACTTTCAAACCCCATAATTAATTAATTACAGTAGTATTTACATAAGTTTTAAACAACATGACATAGGTTAAATATGATCTCTTCTGTTAACAAACACTGCTTTTGTTTATGTGGGCTGATGAACCTCTTGAAAACAATGTCTGAGGTCTTTCCTCCATCCCTTCCTCCCATAAGGGATTCAGAAACCACAGTCTCTGAAGCACTGGCTCAGACCCCAGGCTAAGTGGACACGAGGAGAGGATATGCTGGTCATTGAGCTGTTTCCTGTGGAACCTCTTCTTCTTTTTTAATAAATGATGTTACCAACTTTAGACACATCTGATTTGTGTTTTGTTTTTTAATACTAAAACTGTATGTCTAAGTCTTTGGGTCTAGTTGTGAACAGGCTCCTGGGATTCATTTTAGCTACCACGTAAGGCTGTGTGTGAGATCTCTGATCATTCTCAGTTTGTTCTTTTATGTGGTCTCCATGGAATAGATTGAAAAAGAAATTTGGAGCTGTACATTAATTAATTCATGGAAAAGAGCCATTCATCCAAGTTGGAACATATTTAGGGTTTAGTGGGAGTAGAATGGGGAGAGACCATGTGTTGCACTATTTCAGATTCCCAGTGGTCAGGCCAGAATCTCCTGTCTTTTATAATTTAAGGACTGGTTAATTCTCTGGTTTTAAAGATAAAGTGCTAGTATGATTGCCTAGGATGGGTAATTTTCATTGGTCTGGTAGTTAATTGAGGTAAAGCGTTTCCTAGGTACCACATGAGAATTACTTTCAAACCTTTGAAATGTTTTCTATTCCTTTATTCTATGGGAAAAATCATATAGGTTTCTGATACTTCAAATAAGTCTCTAAATACCATTACCCCCTTTACATTTGAGGTTAGGGTTCTGTCTGTCATACCATGAATTAGTTGGTAAAAATGTAACTGGACACAGAAGGAGGCCAGGAGAAATCAAATTTCCAACTGCAACAAGTAGGATGTTTTGTTAGATGTAAATGTTTTGTTACAGCAATCACATTGACCTCCTAGCTAATCACCTCCATATCACAGTGTTCCTACCTAATATTGCAACTGTAGTTGGATCTACATGTACCCAAACAGTTTCTGTATTCAGCACAAGAATGAAAATATACTGGGAATAAGAACTGCTGTCAGTATGCAGACTGCTCCCTTCCAACCATCTCTTTTCTTCCTCATTGCTCTCCCCAAGTCCTGTGGATTTAGGGACCTTTACTGGATCACTGCAGACCTGGTCAGCAAGTCAGGGGAATATGAGCTAAATGCAAGAGAAGGTCACCTCATTTTGTTTGCTTTGTTGGTATTCGTAATGGTGTTTATCTTTATACTTAGTGGTGCACGTGGATTGCTAAAAGGGATTGGAAACATAACTTGATAAAGTTGAGGGTGGGGGCTGGAAAGAGATCGTGTGCAACTGAAACAGCAGCTTGCTTTGTGGGGGGCAGTTATTAACTAAGTTGTCATGGCAGTCCTGTATTTTAGCATATCCACTCTGCCCGTCCCCCAAACAGGGAGCCTTTCCCAGTAAGAAGGCAGAGCTGGGGACCAGGGCTTTGTGGCCACCAGCATCATGTGGGCTCACCTAGCCGAACTGCATCGGTAGCTGCACAATTAGCAAAATCCCCCACATCTTTTGCTTTAATCCTAAACACAGTTTTGAGAAGCTCAGGTCTAAGAAGCATCTTCTCTCTCACCTATGATCAAACAAACATACTCATGCATGGAGCCACCTTTTGTAGTTTGAAACTTTAGTTTGTTTAGTAAATGGTTGTGTACTATTCCAGGTGATGTCAGACACTGAGAGGAGACTTGAGGGGGCTGTATTGTTCCGAGAATAAGGATTAAGATGAGACAGTATTTAATCCAGGCAATAAAATTGCTTTAGAAGCCCAAAGATGTTGGCTAACCGACAGCGGTGTTGAGGAATTAATTAACACTTTGAGCCTTTAACTTGGAAGGTGTCCTATAGAATTAGAAGTTAATATTGATTGTTTGGTCTAATTGCCACTTTTATTGCAATCTAGTTTCTCATTTTGTTTCCAAGGACATCCATTTATTTGATTGTTAATCTTTGTAATGTCTTAATACTAAACTGCAACTCAGCGTGTCTGGTATTGGCTTAACTGCCGTTGAGAATCTTTTGAATAGTGACATTTCATCAAAAAAAGTGAAGTGACACTTCATCAAAAGCTACAAACTTTGTCCAAACTTTGTCTCTGCTGAGAAAAGTTCACTACCCTATTTTCCTTCATTCTAGAAAATGTAGCACCTCAGATCATTTCTTCATATTGTTAGTTATTGTGTAATTTCTTGATTTTGTGACTATACCAATCACAAGAGATAGGCAATATTTTTCTGCTTTAGGAATACAAATATACATTGACATATTTTGGTCCTTAAATACAAAATGTAGAAAAGATAACTATTTGCATGATAAATGTTTTTTTAAAAAACATTTTGATGATTTTTTTTCACAAAGGAGAGTGGGTTTCAATGAAATTTCTGCAAGTGAAAATCTTTCATTTCAGAAAGTTTCTTCATAAAGTTATGAGGCTAATAAAGATGGAAAAAGTAAGTGAAATACTGCTTATACAGATTGGAGGTATTTGAATACAGTTGTGTATTTTAAGACAAATTACAAAGAATATTATGTGTGTGTATGTGTGTGTGTGTGTGTGTGTGTGATTAGTGGAATCCATCACACATGTGGGTTTATGGGTTTATAATCTAGGTTACTTAACTAGATTGCTTAGATTATAATGAAAAGATTAATAGTCAAATTTATTTGAGACAAATTTTAAGTTAATCTGTTTGAAGAGTAGGAAACACAACTATACTATTCACTGTGGTCCCAACTTTTTCTAATCATTTTGGAATTATTTTGTTCTCAAAGAGAACATGGATAAAAAATCTATAGATAAATTATAAAAATTACAGATAAAAATCTGTGAACAGTTGAACCAAAGTTTATCACCAACAACTTGAGACACTTGTCTTACCAAGGCAGAAGCATTATCTTTATATAAAGGACTGCTACGTACATGTCCTTCATTTATTCAAATATATGTATTTTGAGAACTTACTGTATACCTGGACTGTTCTAGTTTTTGGGGTTTAATAATGAGCTTTACATAGTCCCTATTCTCCTGGAAATCATTCTAAAGTGAGGAAAGCCAATATTATTAATTTGTAAAGATGTATAATTACTGAATGATAGGTGATTTGAAGAAGTATAAGAGGATATGATTCTAAGTTTCCTCAAGGAAATGATATTTGAGCTGAAATCTGAAAGATGTGTAGAGGCACATGTCATTTACTCTTGTTGTTGTTTATTTTTCTGAATTGCTTGTTTAAAAAGTAAGTACATGAAAGGAATCATATTAAATACCAAATTTTTAGCAAATGAGTGGTAACAACGTCTCACTGTAAATGGCTTTGCTTTTGTCTAGGAAAAGCTGTGTTGGATCAGAACTGGTAGACTGGCTTCTAGAACACTGCCCTTTTGTCCAATGCAGATCTATGGCCATAGGGATCTGGCAGCTCCTATTGGATATGGGAATTATGTCATCAGGTTAGTATTACATGTTTTGAAGGCACAGAATCGTTATTTTATTAAATTACCAGATCAAAATGTACTTGATTTTCTGGAGGATGTTATAATCTAGATGGAAATTGTTTTAGCAGGTAAATATTTGCATTCTCTCTTAATTTATAAATAAATATGACAGGTTATTTTTAGATTGCTATTTCTCACACCTTTTATAAAAATGACTAAGTACTTACTGATTCACGGACTACTACCTGTAAGAGTTTTTCCTTTACCTCCTCCCTTCTCTACTCAAAATGCTGCTCACAATTTTTTAAGAACCAGTGACATCTTAAGTTGCTCTAAATCTGTGATTTATTTTGCTATACTTAGAATAATCATCAGAAACTGATTTTACGAGTAGAATGTGTATGCCATTTTAAGTAATCATGAGCAGAGATATGACCTATGAAAATAAGCTGTTTAAACAGAACAGAAAATTGATGTTAACTAGCTACTAAAGTAGTTGGCGGATGTTTCTTTTCTTAGTGGAGCCTGGGGAATTGAAGAAGTAGAAGTCAAGCAACCTGGATTCTTTGCCTCCATCACACAGGTGCTGGTTGGTCAATGGGAAGCCCTTTTTTTCCCCTGTAGGTAATAAATATTGTGGGTCAGAGAAAAAGGTTCAGAAAGGCATAGCCCAAGTCTCACCGTGAAAGAGTCATATAGATGGGATTGTGGCTGCAATCTTAGTGCATCAATAATACCTAGCATTTGATACTCTTATGTAGGAAATCAGTTAACTGTCTTTGAGGAAAGTTATTGTCAGCTTGCTTGTGAGGTTCAGTTTTCCAGTTAGCAAAACATTTCGTGTTAATATGTTTTGGGAAAATCTCCAGTTCTCGATTCCTTTTGAAACTTGGGTTTCCCAACTTCATAGTATTGACATTTTGTGGCAGATAATTTGTGAGAGGCTGCCTTGTATGTGATAGGATGTTCAGCAGCATCCCTTTCTTCTGCCTACCAGATGCCAGGCACCTCCTACTTGTAACACCAAAAATGTCTCTGAACAATGCCAAACTTCCCCTGGGGGCACAATCGCTCCAGTTGAGAACTGCTGATCTAAAACTTGTTGTACTGTATTTGTGTACCAGTTAAAGTAACTAATGTATTAGTTTGCTTTGGGACACTAAAAAAAAATTTCTCCCCACCATTAGAATTGCTATAGACTTCACCTGTCCCTGAAGCAGAATTATAAAATCCATGTGAATATGCTGGCCAAAGCATCAAGTAATAAAAAACACGTTGGTCAGTAAGTCCTTGTTAATTCAATGGGATTGTGAACATGATTGGACTTAGAATATGCAATTATAGCCCTGCCCCTGGCTTCTACCTAATAATTAGTAATGCTTTCAACTTATTATTTGGTTTATGACTCTTCAAATAATATGGTTTAAAAAACTGATCCTCACCTTTTTTTTGTTTCCAACAGTGGACCAGAACTTATACTTTCAAGATACCTATGTGTTCTATCAGTTTTCATCTGATGAATGTAGCTACTTGTACTGTGAATTTGAAAGAGAAGAAGAATGGCAAAATGGTGTCAAACTTTTACTGCAACTTGTGCCTCTCATTCCTGCCAGAGCTGGCATCTGTGAGCTGTAAGTAGAGGTTATTTTGTTCCATTGTAAAATTACTCTCACGTAGAAAATATTTACTGTGCGCTGTTCTTTAAGATCATAATCTCCCTTAAGAGGGAGTTGTTCTCTTCCCATTTCTCAGATGCAAGTTCAGAAAGGTAAAATAAATTGCTGAAAATTAAATCCAGATAATTAGAGTCTGAACTGGTGTTTAAATCCCAGAAGTTCATGCCTCTCCAGCTGCACCACTCTGTTTCTAATTTAATCATCGCTATATGAGTAGATTATCTAAATTAGGTTTAAACATGATTAGCTTACATTGGAGTAAAATAACTGACATATTATCCACTATCCAAGTCGTGACTTTCCTAAGAAAGAGCCCAGTAGACATTTCTGAAAATAAAATCTAGAAAGAACATTTGGCAAATTAAGATGTATGAATCATTATCACATGAAGATGCTGAATCACTATGTGATAAAAATGAATTAAAAATCATTAGAGAAAGTTTGGGAACAGGACTTGAGTCATGATGTGGTGATTCTGACATGCCTTTGTTTACCCAGAGCATTAATGATAAGCATATTCTAGTGTAATGAATTGCAGCTTGAAGATTTCAGCTAGTAATTTGGACACATTCAGTTTTCAATACTGTTGACTCTGTTCTATGAGATTAGCAGGGCAAGTCATGTTACCCTCCTCTCATGGGTAAGAAAGTGGGTTCAATACCTGCAAACCTAACAAAGATGACTTACTCTTGTTAGAAAATAACAGTTAATACTGAACAGTTAACACAGGCTTTTATAAAAGAAATGTGTTAGAATATTAATGAGACACTGTGCTAATAGGTTGATTGTACAGAACACAGTTTATGTCAGGAATGATCTAAATGCTTCATATTCATTATCTCATTTTCAGATGAATTATATAAGACAGTTACTATTATAATCCCTATTTTACAAGTGAGGAAACTGAGGCATAGAGGACAGGTAATCTGTCCAAGGTCACACAAGTGGTGAGTAGAGTGTTAGGGTTTGAAGCCACATCTGTCTAGCTCTACTACACATGATTTTAACACCTGCTAGAGTGTGTTCACAGGAGTTACGGGGGTCATTCTAGCTTCTCCTTCTCAGACTTATAAACAGAAAGTATAAAAATGTTAGACTGACTCTGAAGTGACTATGAATTCACCACCACCACTGTTGATAGAGGACCTTGCAGTGATAAAGCCAAATTTTGCTATAATTCATCACTCGATTGCCTAAGTGTAGAAAATGTTCTTCAGTGAAAAATGCTTTTAATATAGGTCAGAAGTTTCCTGAGGAAAGTCAAGGAGCATTTCAATAAATAACAAGATTTCTAAGAAGGAGTGATATGCTTTTTAAGCTCAAGTGGCTGTGACTTGCTTAACTCTGTGGGACTGGCAATCCCTAGCAGTTCTTTTAACCACTTCCTGTCCTGAATGCAAGATGGAAGTATGTGCAATCCCGTGGGCGTACCCAGCTTAATGGGGCACAAGAGCAGCTGAAATAAACTTGCAGTATTCGCAATAAACTCATGATTTAGTTCAACTCTTTTCTCTGAATTGGAAAACAGATAGGAGTGCCAGTGAGCTAGATGACCTTGTAGGGAAACCATGAGTCCACTCTAGTAAAGTGAAAATACTTTAAAATTTGGTTCCAAATGTTAATTCCAAGTTACTTGCATTCTTTTGTCACACCAGTCACTGAACACAAATGTCAAGCCTCTGGACTTGAGAATCACTGTCACATGCCTTGTGTGGCAGCAGATTTTTTCTGTTGGTGTGAATATGCACTTTGGGAGTGGTTATTCCTCTGGGAGCTGTAGATCTGTCTGTCCCATATTATAAATAAGTACTAACTATAAAAAGATATTAAACCACTGCAAGTCTTTTCTGGAGAGAGAGAGGAAATATATATATATATAT